AGGAGGAGTGGGAGGCGACGACCACCGCGGGGTCGGAGGTGGTGGTGATGGCGGCGGCGAGCGTGACGGCGCCGCCGTCGGTGGTGAGTGGATTCTCCAAGGAAACCCCTAGTGAGCTTGCAATGGTGGTGTCAAGGAATGGCAAAGATCTTGTTGAAGTTATCAAAGAGCTTGATGACTATTTTCTCAAAGCTGCTGATGCTGGTTCCCATGTTTCTTTGCTCCTTGAAGTTCCAAGCTCTGGATTTTCTGATAGAAGTAAAGCATGTAAGCCTCACAATCACATGCATGTAATAAAAATTTTAAGTGTCAAGTGTTAACCCCTTTTGTGCAGTGTGCGTCTCTTTCAGATTTGCTTCCTTGTTGAAATTAACCAAGTTGGCAAATTTCCTTTTTTTCTTCATTTCTTCTTAATTTTGTGGAAAATGAGAGAGAGAGAGAGAGAGATCTTGTGTTGAATTGATGATTTGATCCTTATGTTTATTGTTTACATTTGATGTTGTATGCTGTTTTAAGTTTGTTTTTCTTCAGTTTTTTGGATTTTGAAGGGTTGTGTTTGTACTTGTTGTGGTGGTAGGTAAAGTGCACAGCTATGGGTGGAGTTTGAGTCCTTCATCATGGGCTTGGGGTTCAAGTCCTAAACTGAACGGGTTTGGCAAGCTGGCTGAGGCAACTCCTGTTTCTGTTGGTGCTTTTGGGGCTAATGGAGTTGGAACTGTAGGGCACTGCTCCACTGTGGAGAGACTATATGCATGGGAGAAGAAACTGTACCAAGAGGTTAAGGTGTGTTGCTTTTTCCTGAGCTCCCTTTAAGGGTAATAATAAAAGAAAAAGAAAAGGAAAATAAAGGCTGGAGAGGATTTCTCTTTTGTGGGCATAAATTTTGATGTGGGTCTGGTGAACAAGTCTTGTTCTTCACAACTGATATTTCATTCATGCTAAGGTTTCGTGTGTTCATTTACTTGGGAATTGTTCAATTTTGTATAAAACTTCTAGTACCCTACTATTTTTTTTATTAGATTAGCTAATTTGACAATTGCCGCTGATCGTTGCTTAACTTCTCTAATACTTTTTCTTTGCTTGGTTTAAGAATGCTAAGACTATAAAGATGGAGCATGAGAAGAAGTTGGCACTGCTAAGGAAGGTGGAGTTGAAGAGAGCTGATTATGTGAAGACAGAGAAGACAAGGAAAGAAGTGGAGAAATTAGAATCACAAATGATGGTTGCTTCTCAGGCCATTGATAGTACATCTGCTGAAATCAACAAATTAAGGGAGGTAGAGCTCTACCCTCAACTCATTGAGCTTGTCAAAGGGTAAGTTCTCCACTTTATTTATATACATAACTTTGTGTCAGAAATGGGATGGTCATGAGCTAAAAGGAAAAGTTATCCAGCAATAGTAAAAAAATGTTAGTTTAGTAGCAAATAAGCAACTGAATCTTAAAGGAAGGGATACATTTTTGTTTGGTTGGGACCCTTTTGGTGTCTTAGGTTGCTGGTGGGAATGAGAAAAGCTAAGTGGCATGCAATAGAGTGGAAGTCAACTACAAATTGGGTCAGAATCAGAATATATGCGTAGTATCAGTAACAGTAGAAAATATTGCTTTTGACTGCTTTATAGTTTTCACTGATTAATTTTGTGCTCCAAACTTGGCGTGACAAGTACAACCGTACGAGCCAAAATCTCATTTTTGATCAAGTGTGTTTCCTTGTGATCAGGGCTTATCGCTTCTAAACAAACCCCTTTTATTTCATGAACTAGGCATTACTGTAGCGCACTTTGTACCATATAATTTCCCATTGGACTTTCAATTCGGTAAGTTATGATATATGTACTAACAAGTAACAACGGATAGGATGTTAAGGTCCCGCTTGATGATTCTCATCTGTCTGTTTTCTGTTTATAAATATGATATCCTTTATACTTTGGCAACTCGTACAAGCAAAACGTGATATATTGTTATATACTACTCTGTTGGGTACAGGCAAAACTGTTGCCATAATTTGATCCTTGTCAAACGGTTTAAAATTTAAATCCTTCCATGCCCATTTTATTTACTTTCGTCACTGCATGGTTGTCCTGGCTACTTGCTTCTGATTTTCTAACAGAATGTGTAGCATAATCCCTTCCTGCTTGGATATTCTTTGACACTGACATAACTGACATTACAATACAACAAAGTAGAATAACTTTTTTCATAAACAATTAGAATATAAAATAAGTTAAGTTTCTCTAAATTAGAATAAACTTGTGTAATTCATTTTTATAAAAACACTCACATCTAACTTCTCCAAAAACTAAGTGTTTGAGACCAAATATATAATGTTGACCATCACTCTCTCAGTACATCCAAGAAACCCTAAACTGAAATGATTAGAAATAGCTTCTGCGTCAACTGAACTTATTTGGTCTCAAATTTATAGTGCAGATCATCATCAGTCTCTAGACATCTAACTTCTCAAAAGTAGTTCAATTTTTTAAAAACACTCATCTAATTTCTCCAAAAACTAAGTGTGTTTGGGACAAAATCTATAATTTTGATCATATCCAACTGAAGCAACAAGAAGTAGTTTCTACATCAATGAACTTAGTTGATGTGATTTTATGATGATGTTCCAAACATGCTATAAGATTCATAAGTTAGTTTTACCTTGTGAGAAAACAAAAAAAATAAATAAATAAGCCTTCTAACCATTGTGTGTTTGTTATGTTGGCAGATTAATGTGCATGTGGAGAAGCATGTATGAGTGCCACCAAGTCCAAAGGCACATAGTTCAGCAGCTAGAGTACCTCAACACCATACCATCAAACAATCCCACATCCGAGATCCACAGGCAATCAACACTTCAGCTGGAGCTAGAAGTGCAGCAATGGCACCAATCCTTCTGCAACCTCTTCAAGGCGCACCGTGACTACATCCAATCCCTCACAGGCTGGCTAAGGCTAAGCCTTTTCCAGTTCAGCAAGAACCCTCTGAGCAGAACCCCGGAGGAGTCAAAGATATACACCCTTTGTGAAGAGTGGCACCTCGCCGTCGATCGCATTCCGGACACAGCAGCATCAGAAGGAATAAAGAGCTTGTTGACAGTTATCCATGCCATTGTAGTGCAGCAAGCAGAGGAGCACAAACAAAAGAAGAAGTCAGATTCTGCATTCAAAGAACTTGAGAAGAAGGTGGTTCAGCTTCGTTCCTTGGAGTGCAAGTATGGTCCATACTCCATGCCGGAATCCTTGAGAAGCAATAAGGACCCGGTTACCGAGAAGCGTGCCAAGGTGGAAGGCTTGAGGGCCAAGGCAGAGGAGGAGAAGAGCAAGTATGAGAAGTCAGTGAGTGTAACAAGGGCAATGACACTGAACAACTTGCAAATGGGTTGCCCTCAAGTGTTTCAAGGGATTGTGGGGTTTTCAAGTGTGTGCATGGAGGTTTTTGAGTCTGTATACAACAAAGCCAAAGTTGCTGAACAGGAGCATGACGTGAAGAGAATATTACCATAGGAGAATGAATTCAAATTCATATCAAACATTCAAATGTCATGTATAGATGATAATCACCCTTGCCCACATCATTAGATTGTGTTTACTACTAATATCATGGATCATGATGTTGGGAGAGTGCAATTGCAATCTAATTCACCTTTTTTCTTTTTTGGGCAAGTTTGGTGTTGAATCCGCATTCCTTAAGCACTTACTTAGCATGGGTTTCACTTGGTTTCATGATGTACTGTTAATATGATTATATATAGTCGAGAAAATTTGATGATTAGAGGAGTGAGAAATTTGTTGCCAACGTGTCTTGTCAATGCCAACGAATCACTGCTCCTGTCACGTTTCCTGCAGGAATTTTTCTGTTGCAATTATATGTGCGGAATGGAATTTAATTTGGTACGTGGATTTCCGACCAAACAATATAATTTTGTAGGCTGAAAACTTGACATAAATATGTGAAATAGTTATGATGGATTTTTTTTAATAATGAATTTTTTTAATAATTTGTTTTATGAAATGCTCGATGTGATATTCGATTAGTTTGTGGAGGATTTGGAAACATAAATGTTAGTTCTGCACTTGTCAGATTTCAGATTAAGTGGTGCTACTGCTTAAAATGTTTTCAACGATGCTGAGAAATCAGATTTGGATGAAACAAATCAAATCAGAATCTATTACTGACCGCATGCTTTGCGCCGTTGTTTTAAAATTGGACCGACCAGTTTGATCGGTTAAACTGATGACAAACAATCAAAATCAAAACAAACTAGATAACCTATTTGAATCGATTATTCCACCAAAAAAAAAATGGTTCTTTCGGTTTAATTTTATGAAGAAATTTGATTATAAAATATTTTTGTTAAATAAATAAACTGTTTTAGATGATGGCTTAACAATCTTTTACACTGTCGGTGCACAAAATATTTACTCTTATTTTTTTATCAACGCAAGATAATATTTGTATATTAATTTAAAAAAACTGCATAATTTAATTTTATATAAGTTTATTATTTGGAATATTATATTTAATTATTAAATTTACTAACTTATTTTTTATATAAGTATTTTAACATGTCACACTTCCAATGCAATTTTATATAAATACTTTTTCATATAAGTATTTATTCATTATATTTTTTATTTATAAAATAAATAATCATCATGTGTATTATATAGGCTAAAAACTAGTACATTAACATATTTGTATATAACATTTACTAACAAGTATACTGACTTATTTTTTGAAAAAAAAAATTAATAAATTACATTGAGAAAATATTTTATGAAAACAAAAGTTAAAATTTACTAAATTACTCTTAAAAAACAAGTTATTATAACATAACAAACTGCTTAAATAATTGCCAATGTAACTTTTAGATACAATTCAATTGCAGTTGACTAATTAACTATAAGCGAGTTACTTAACAAGTTCAATAATCTATTTTAGAATTTTTAGAAACATTGATTGGTGTCATGCAATCATGGATATTGTTTCAAGTTTCAACATTAAAACTTGAGGAAGTATAATACTATAATGTGATATGAATGAGATTATCTAATCAAAGCTTGTGAATAACTTGCCACAAACGGATCAAACTCTGAACAAAAGAGATCTTTTCCTTCTTTTTTTTTCATCCTATACAAAATTAATTGGATGCAACAGCACACTTGCCACGCAACCAAGTTAAACGTTTATCCTTTTTGAGAGACAAAAATATCTCCCTTGCATTAGGTTTGTTGAACAGATTTAGAGCAGCAAAATAAAGTTGTTGATCAACACCTTGCATCAAATCTAAGTCCCTAATACAGTCAGCAATGCTAAATCTAGCATTTTGTTGTTCTATGGCAACTGCCCTCATCTTTGAAGCAGATGCCATCTCAAATATGGCATTTGCAATAGCATCATCAATTCCTTTACGCCCTCTTTTACGGGTAGAAGTAGCAGTAGGTGTAGTAGGTTGAACTGTTTGAGGGTCAATAGCATCTTCCTCATCCTGAGATTCAGATGAGGTCTCCTCTTGGTGCATGTTCAAGAACTCTGGACAAGGAGTTATAGAAGTATGTTCACTCTCAGATGCAACTAAATATTCATGCTTGCCATTGGTTGCTGGCTCAGAAAATATTGTGCAGAGTTCCTTAAAGATTGGGCAGCCACCGGTTTTGACAGTCTCAGCATCGGGATGTTTCTGTAATTTCTAAAAGAGTTAATCAAGTATTATTATTATATAGAGCACAGATAACAGCTCCAACTTGTGTTCAATGAAGCTCTAATCCTGTGATAAAGATACTGCAGGCTGTAATAGAAACTACAAAAAATGCTAGAAATATAATCACACTCTTTTCGATACACTCTTTAAATCCAAGTTGCTCTTATTCTCTATTTATTCCGTATTTAATTTAATTTTGTTTTAGAAAAATAATAGTTTCTTTCTAATTTCCTAAGAGATCCAAAATAATCCCAACAAACACATGTTTAGTGGGTTCCACACGGATTTTAGTATTTCACCCAATTGTAATGTGTTAATTATAATGTGTTATTAGCATTCTTCTAAAAACTAACAGGGTTCCACTCCAGAGACAGATTATGCCACAGCATTCTCAACAGTTACCTTCTTAAAATTACTTATTCCACATTTTAGCATTGAAATGAAAAGCAAACTTTTTGAGAATTTCAAATTGCACACATATGGGCTAAAAACATCAAAAACATTTTTCATTTAACGCATTCATGAATCTGTACCCTCATTAATATATTGTTTTGTTCAAATATCTGGAGCAAGATTATATAAAGCAGTTTGTGACCACAATTTTGACTGCAAAATCAAGGGTTTTGGACACTCAGACTGCACTTGTGGTCACACTGGCCACATTTGTCCCAAATTTCCTGCAATATAAAGAATTGCAGCTGTGACTACAATTTAAAATCTTCACTTGGAGGCAAGAGGGAGGGAAATAAGGGGGACAAAATCTCACCTCCCACTCTTGTCTACCCTGCAATATTAAGGAGATCAGGAGAAGGAAAATACTTAAAGAGATTTTAAACCCTGCTAATTAAATTATTCTTAACTTGAACACTTGAGTTTAATGACTTTATTTGTCTTCTGTAAGAGTATAATGATAAATTATTTTATTTTTCCTCCACTCCCTTTCTTTAAAGCAGACGGGGTGACATTATATAAGGTAAGGTCAAACTGATCATATGTTCAAAGTTTCCTCCTTCAGCAGGACGATATTTAATCAATAAGAACAAACAGAAGATGAAGGAACATACCTTGATATATTCAGCCCAAATTTCATCATTAGCTGTTATAGATCCTGTGGCTTCATCCCAATTAAAGTCACTTTGATCAAGTATGGACTTTACAATAGCATACTGCCTCCTCAAGACCGAATACCGGTTTTTGAGTTGCTCCTTGTCCCATTTCAGACCTGTTTTGCTGTAAAATTCATCACAAATATATTTCCATGCTTTCTTATTGAATAAATTGTTATGTTTGTTCCCTTTATGTACTTGGTCAACCATAAGCTGTGCAAGTATCTTAGTGAGTGATGTCGTCCACCTAGCCCTTGACTGTTCCTGCTGCTGAGTTTCTAGTCTTCTTGATCTTGTAAGTTGGCCTGCCATCTATAGTTTAATTTACATTAAGTGTTTGATAAAGAGGGACATAAACACACACAACACACGTGCATCCACAATAGAATGTTCATAACAAGAGTGAGTAGGCATTTGGAACTGCATCACACAGCACGAAACGTACATTCAGGTATCCAACACAATACTACATATTGTCGGTGTGTTCGGTTTCCCGTCTCAAGCCAAGGGACGCGTGTCCATTCTGAAGCAAATAGAAGTAGCTTTTGCATAAGCTCATTTTTTTGATATGATATCTATGACATAGTATGTAACTGACTGCTTTGACATGAAATTTACAGTTTTGATATGAAATTTTGAGAGATGTGTAACCAAGGTATAACTAAACACATGCTGTATATTCAGCCTCAATGTGGGCCCTAAACAATTCCAAACACGTTGTGACTTGTGAATTCTATTTCTTTTGTTCATAAGATTCTAGTTGAATATGGCTAGCAATAACTAACAGTGCAGTGGTGAATCAAAAAGTGCATTCAACACAAAGCCCACCCATTGACAATAAATGTGAGATTGGCAGCATGATAAGCAAGTATTCTTGGTACGAGGAGGACACAAAAATCAATGAACACCCAGAAATAACTATGATTCACTGCCAGCATAGTACACAGCAAAAAAGGGCCAAGACGTAAACTTTATATCATCCGAAATCAGGGGTATCTCAGTTTAGGCATTTTATGTTGTGATGTCAGTTATTGATTCTCTGATAACATTTTCTTAAACCTTATTGAAAACCCTAAAGGAGAGAGGAGAGGGAAAATTTACCTAAGAGAAAAGCCGATCTCTCCGATTAAGATTGATCCTTGGATGAGAGAAGAACAGAGAATCCTTGAAAACAACCCTCGTTTGCCAACCAACAAAATTCCAAACAAGGTTTGGCAAAGTAAACGCTTTGTTGATTAGTTTAATAGTTTTAGTCATAAATATTATAAATTATCCATTATATATATTTTAGGAAAACGAAATTATAATTTAATAAAATACTTATTTTAAAAAAATATCTACTACAATATTATAAAATAGTGTTTTTAATAGGTACAACGTACATTTTAAATATATATTTTTTATATGTGTATTTTATAATAATTAAATTTTTTAAATATATATTATATTATATTATAATTAAAGTTCATAATAAATAAACATTTTAATACATAAAATATATTTTGAATTTACGATCCCGCTTCATATATGAATTAAAATATCTTGGAAAATTTGCTTTTTTTAAGAGATTTTAATTATAATAACATTTTAGGGGTGTTTTCTCTTATCATAGTATTTTTTAAGATTTTGTTCGATCTCTTATATCTTTCAATTTATCATTTTTACTTTAAAAAATAATTATAATATATTTTTAAAAGATATGGTTAAAAATATTTATATATTATAATATAAATGATTTATTATAAATTTAAAATATGAAATTATATATTAAAAATATTTT